GAACCCAGTTTTATCCTTTTCCGAGGCCGTACTTTTTCCACCTTGCTGCAGCCGTACACAACAATCAGACTTTATTCCTGTGTCCTGAGCTGAGCTTCTAAATGTGTTTGAGGGAGTATAACCGTTTATTATAGTGTAATTCACACAGGCAGACCTCCTGCTTGTGGTTGTATCACCTCTGATTGAACTTCTTTATTATCCTTTGTTTACTGCACTTGTATTACTTTCCTATAACAAATTTTGCTGAAATGACTCAGAATTCCATTTGCTGTAATGCCCCAGCTATTGCCTTTCTTTGCATTGTGGTGGTAGACTAGCACAACCATAATTGAGCCTGTTGCTCACAAGCCCCATTTTAAGTGAATGGAGGCGAGCCACTGGAGCCTATTGAGGCAGAGGCTGAGCCCAAACGGAATCTGGACTGCAATGCCACTGCCCAGCCCACAACCATTTATCCTTGACGCTGACCCATTAACCGTGAGAAAAGAGAAGAAGCTGTGTGTGAGTCTGCTGCAGGTTCCTGCGTGTGTGTGTGTGTGTGTGTGTGTGAGCCCTGACAGCCTTTTACATCCTCAGAGCAGAAAGCCACCAAACACAATGGATCAAAACTGCTCAACTGCAATTCTGAAGTGACAATAACAGCACTTTGGGAACTTTTCTAGCAACACTTTAACACTGATAGTTTGTATTTTAATGAAAAGACAGAACTGATGTCTTCTTTTTTTAAAACATTTTTTTGTCAATCAAAAGGAAGGAAAATGTGCTGAAAACGTCTCACCTGCCAACTGTGTAGTGTACTATGAGGCAGAACATCAGTTTGTTGCCAGGCACATTCCAAAGCAACATAGAGAATCCAGAGGCCCTTCGTCATCACGTAATATTTAAATTTAGTAAATTATAGTAAACTTGGGGCTGCACAGTGGCTCGGGGGTTAGCACTGTCTAGCTAGAAGATCCCTGGTTTGCATCCCGATTAGGACGCCTGGAATCTTTCAGTGTGGAGTTTGCATGTTCTCCTTGTGCAGCGTGGATTCTCTCTGGGTTCTCTGACTTCCTCCTAAATTGTCCACAGGTGTGAATGTGCTTGGTTGTCTCCCTGTGTAGCCCTGTGGTAGACTGGCTGTTTGTCAGCTGTTTGACATCCATGATTGGCTAGATGCTGATTTGAATTTGGCTCCAAAACTTCCTGTATAAAAGAAAGTCACTGGAATGCAATGTAGGCTTTTTATGCAGGCTTTCTCTATTGTTTTACTCAGACCTTTTGTACTATTTTATTGGGCTTTTCACTACATATTTTGGGCTCTTTCAATTATGTAACTTTGGCTTTCTTTTTAAGGGTTCTTTGTTCCATCATGATGATGTTTAATGTAATTTTACAATGCAACAGCACCAACATTTTCTTTATAACTATGACTTTTGACTATGAATTTTTTACACTTTTCCAACACAAATATACAAAGGTGCCATTCTGTCTCTGCGCTCCTGAACCAACTCATCTATCAGATTTGCACACTGACACATGCTGCTGTGGCCTCCCTCTCCCTCCTACAAAGGCTATGCAAGTAATGTTTTTTTCTTCTTCTGCTAAACGGGTGAATTTAGAATTTAGAATTGGCTTCTCAAAAGTATTTCTAAATTGATCACAGCTTGACGAACTGCTCCCAGTGATGATCACTGTTAATTAGTTTGTTTACCTGTATTCATTACTTCACTGTCTGTTGTTTGTCACGTCATTGTTGTCTAATTGTTTGAAGTTAATATCATTTTCTGTGTAACTATCTTTGGTTCTACGGTGTATTTCTTTGTTTGGGAACTAGACGTCAATGAAATCAGAGTTCACAACTTCTGATTATAAGACTGATCAATACAAGCAGATCTCATAAATTACTAATATTCAGTCTGAGATATTAGTATTTAATTTATGAATGTTATATTCGGTGGTGCCCCTGATTGTAAATGACTGCAATATTTCATTCATAAAGTGTAGTTATGCTACATTTCTACAAATGTGGTGCAGCAGTGTGAGGTTACATTTGCTACAACTGGATCCCATAAAATTGTTTGAAAGTATACTATGACTGCATTAGTTTGTCATTTTGTATTTTCTGCAACAGCTGATAGATACTCTATTCTTGTAATTCAAGTGTATTGCCACCCTGGATTTATTTACATTTTTTTCCACCTTTTGAATTTGTAAGTGAAGTAGTGCACACTGAGTTCATGGAGTTTTAGGAAAACAGTGACACCAGTAAAATGAAGTCCACTGGAAAAAATCCTTTTCGAAACTGATCTCACATGACTTGAATTTGATCAGAAACTTGACGATGGCTAATTCATTGTTTTGTGATTTATTAAACTGATTGCATTATCTGTGGCAACTAAATAATATTTTAATAAAACCTCTCTTTATAGACTAAACCATGTCGAAATCTCTTTCTCTGTTTAATATTATGCAGATCATACTTTCAAGTTCATATATTTACATTAATATTTCAAAACATATCAATATGTTGTTTTTAGGTAAAACTCACTCTGCACCTTATGCAGACATGAGCCTGTCATGTAAAATTTACACACTTTTTGTATTTGAAAAGGTCCTGAATAAGTCAAAGGTGATAATTTGAAGGACCGAGGTATTAAAATAAGGCCAACTTTTAATAAACAAGACAGTTTCATTTTGTTTGTTTCCTGTTTATATGCGTTATTAAAAAACCCTGCAAATATCACATTTACCTTGAATTAAGCTTACTTGAAGAAGAAATGTGTTAATGTTTTGATGGAAAAAAGTTTCCTGGCTCACATTGTTCTGAGGCTCAATGCTTTAAGTCTTTCTGTCTTGCTCTTAACAAGACTGGATAACCTCGGAGCATCACTGATTGTATTGAGAGCTACCAGATTGTCTGTCTCTTCCAATCCCCATCTTCTGCTTCACCATCCTCCTGCTTCTTTCTTTCTCACAATCCCACCTGATGATGTCACTGGTTAATTGCGGTGCAGTGCTCAGTGCCTTGGAGATCTCACTAAGTGACTGGAGACAGTTGGGAGAAAGTTTCGAGTCCCACTCCTTTTCAAGAATATCAAGAATACACACACTTAAGTTACACAAATACAAATACACACACACACACACACACACACACACACACACACACACACACAAAATTCCCCCATAACTGCAGCTGTCACCCTATGTAAACCTAATGAGGATAAACTCCCTTTTAACCTTGCTAAGAAATCCCATTAATTGTGTCTCCACTGACGAGCCCTTCCATCCCCTCTTCTTCTTCCCACATCAAAAGCTCTGAGACTGGTGAAGGCGAGTGTGCCTGCTCCCCTCCTCCTGGAACAAAGTGTCTACAGGAGCAGACTTCCATTGGAGGGATGGGTAGGTGGGTGGTGGTGTCGGAGGAGGGTAAATCTCCAGCCTCCTGTTATATTAAATGTTAACGCTGGATGTTTCTGTGTAAACGTAGGTAGGTATATCTAGTCAATCTCTCTCTCTCTCTCTATCTCCTTCACACACAAACAGACACACAGGCACACACATACACACACACAGGCACATAAAACCTGAATTCCTATCTATTTGGTGTCTTTTTGGTGCAATTTGGGAAAGACTGCATGAAACAAGCTGTCCCCTTTCTCTCCTCCTCTTTATATGCGCTCTCTTTGGTAATCAAAAGTGCAGAGGTGCATTTGTGAGGCATGCACTCCTCGCTATTTCATGTTGTAGTCAAATGGCTTACTAAGAACACAGTGAACTGTTATGTTTACATGGGGTTCAAACAAAACAGATATCACTTCCATAGATAATGCTGCTAAACTTTTAACTTCATAGGAAGAATGAGAGCAGAAAAGCAAGTAACTACAATGAGTGTACAATCCTGTTGTAGTCTGCTGTTCAACTGACATAGCACAAATAATGCCTCGTGTACAGTGGGTAAAATCAGGAAACATTCCACAATCAGGTCTGCTAACAGGGACTTAAGTGTATTCATTATTTCTTTGTAAGCTGTAACAGAGTTTGGTGCACTGACTTGCCTTAATGTAACATGTATTTAAAGACACAGAGTTGTAACTCATGATGTAAAAGCTAAAACTGGTAAAATAAAATAATAATAATAATAATTAACTTGCTGCTTACACCAGTTGTGTAAACCAATAGTTCTAGTTCTTAATCTTAAAGTGAAGAGAGGTGGAGCATGGCTAACAACAAACATCTTCAGATGAAGGAGTATTATTAATTCTGTCCAATTTGGGTTAATGGGATTATCAATGTAAAAGCTTTCATGAAGTTCAAAGAGACAATTTCATTCTATTCAAACTCGACATTCTTTACTCAATGCAAAACCCACTGTATTAAATCATACTTATCTTTGACCCCATATTTATGATTTACTTTGACTTTACCTTTACATTTCTTGCAGAAATATTTGTAGTAGTAAAAATAGTGCTGGTAGTGCTTTTGTACTTGATGTTCTGAGGGGCGGTGCAGTGCCAGCACTTTCGCCTGATTTCAGGCCTTGGCCTTTCTGTGTCCAGTTTGTATGTGGAGTATGTTCTCCCTGTGCCTCTGCAGCTTTTCATCACTTTCTCCAGCTTCCTCCCTCCGTCCAAAGACATGCTTACATTAATTGCATACTAAAGTTGCCATGAGTGTGAGTGCACACAGTTGTCTGTCTCTCTGTCTCATGGCCCTGTGATGTACTCTGCTTTTGCCTTAAATCAGCTGGAATAGAGTCCAGCCTCCCTGCAACCCTAAGGAGGATAATGGATGGATAATGGATGTAGTTTTTTTTTTGACTGTATTTGCTACAAATCTTGAAAAGTATTAACATTAGCTGGGTTGTTGTACAATTCTGTAAGACGAATGACACTCCACCAGGATATTTGTTATTGCCCTGCAGTGCACAGTGACTCAGAAGATACAAGAGATGTGTTTGGTTGTATCAGTGGTTGTGTGTATAAGTGCGTGTGCATGCCGTGCAGGTGCCATCTTACCCCGAACATTTGCCGGAGGTCAGGGTCCCGGAAACGGAAAGGGATGTTAGAGACATGTAACCTCTTGGGCTGTTGCTTCTCCGATGAATCGCTGGGCTGCATGTGGAGCTGTTGGGAGCCCTCCGTCTGTGCAACCTCCTCTGCCTGCTGCAGGGAAATACACAGTATGCCACAGATTAGTTATTATCGTGCAACAAAAGGATTAGAAACCAATCCAGGTGAGAGGCAAGGTTATTCAGTTTCATGTCTCACATTAAAGGGGCTGTGGCGATATAAAAACAAACAGATCCTGTTAAATATGAGAACTAACAGGCAAAATGGAGAAATATTCAGAAATTGTAAAAGTGTGTGAAAGATGAGGAGAGATAGGAAACAAGGAGAGTGGTTCAGATTCTTTGTTTTATAGGTCTTTGGATTGAAAGTGAGCGCAAAGCACAGAAAAACAAAGTGAATGATAGTGTTTCGACTCAGCCCACTCAGAACACATAGATCACCTTTTGGTGTCAGATTAGAAAGTTCCACACCTCATGATTAATGTTCAGTGCAAACATTCAGCATCAATGCAGGAAGTAATTAGCCCTCCATGCAGGAGGCTGCAGTTTGTGTCCCATCACAGAAGCTTTTTACCTTAAGCTTAAGTAAGTGATTAATTTGCCAAATCTTAACCATATTGTAACCAACAGTTCAGGTGCTGGAATAATACAAAGTGTGTCAGAAAAGTTCCAGGACTGGTGTCACAAAAGATATATTTCAAACCAAAGCTACAAACTACAAGTTTTCCCCTTCAAATGATCAACCAGCACATCTACAAAGAGATCCTGTGGTGTTTGCTTCTTTCAGTGAGAAGAGGCGAGAGTTGTGGCAGGACAAGTCATGGCTGCTTCACCATGACAACACGCCTGCTCACAATGCCCTGAGCATCCAACAGTTCCTGGCTGAGAACAAAATCGCCGTGTTGGAGCAACCTCCCTCCTCACCGACCTGGCTCCGTGGGAATTATTCCTCTTCCCCAAGCTCAAGGGGGTCATCAAGGGGACCTGTTTTGAAGACATGGATGACATCATGTGGAGGATCCTGGAAGGATTCTTCCAGGATCCTCCACATGATGTGTGCATGGCAGCGTGGCAGAGAAGGCTGGAAAAGTGTGTTAGACTCCAGGGGGATTACCTCGAAGAGGAAAAATTGTAGTTTGTAGTTCGGATTTGAAATATATCTTTTGTGACACCAGTCCTGGAACTTTTCTGACACATCTTGTAAAGGTTTACCTTAGGGCATGGCTTATGAACAACACTATCCAAGTGTGTTGCTTACTCTCTAGCTATCATAGTAATTCTAAGTAAATTTTTCCAAGGAAAAAATTCCTTCATGCATTACAATGGCTTAGATGTAACTCTTCCTAGTGCCATATTTAGTATGCAAGGACTATGAGTAAGCAAATTGTCCATGCCTCTGTATCCTACACCACTCCCTTAAACACCTGTGCCAAACTGAACTTGTAAGGTCAGAATGCACAGAGAGCAAAGTGATGTCAAGCATCCATTAAAACATTAAACAAGCTGAGCTCAGATGTCATCATAGCATTTTAGATTTTAGTAAGTGTAAAGAATGTACAGAATTTCAAATTATATTGCACTCATTATCGAAAATGTAATCTTGTAGCATTAATGTGTTACTAACTAATGCATCACTGCCTAACACTACTAGTATGACAGCACATTTGGATTACCTGTCAAGTCTGCAGGTATTTGCTCTCATGACGATTGATGGTTTGGAATATGTACATGCAGTGTTTCCCTAATAAGAAAGAAACATACCTCTACCGTTTAGCTATATTTTTTTTTTCTATGTATCTCTGTAGCCCTCTTACAATACACTGACAAACATCCACTAGTCCAAAAAATTTTAACTCTGTATACCAATACCTCTGACTACAACTCATAAACAGATTTAAGGGTGGCTCTACAGCTTGTTTTCAACTTACTGCCAGGCTGGCGGTTTCATCACTGGACCCACCATGTGCTAAAGTGCCCCCTTAGTTGCCTGTGATGGCAGGTGAACACCACTGGTGTTACTGTGTGTGACTGTGTCAGCAATAAAAAACATTATAAAGTGCTTTGTGGAATCTAGCTAAAATTAAAATGTAAGCTAGATCACTTTACTGCTTCACTGCTCACACACTGAAAATACAAACTACTTAATGTTCATTCATGCATTTATTTTATTAATCACTTGTGTATACATTGATTGATAAGAAAGATCAAACAAGAGAACTGTGATGCACAGCCCAATCTGATCTTATGCTAACTTTGCATCAGTGTTTTGTGCTGCATCTGCTGATGTACATTTGTTCTTATTATAAGAACTTCTCTCTCTCTCTCTCTTTATCTCTGGCCTCAGCAGCAACAGCTGCCTAAGACCAAGTTTTATTTATTTATTCATTCATTCATTTATTTACTTATTTTATTTTATTTATTTATTTTTTGTACATTATTTTTTCCTTAAGTTCAGTGTGGTATTCTTTGTTTCAAGTAAATTTACTTTCTAAATTTGGTTTAGATTCGTGGAATCAACCCAGTTTGACAGTGCATTGTGTGCAGTGTGACCTCCCATTGTCTTGTAAGGTTTGGCTGTCCTGTAATTCCCTTCTCATTTTTGGGGGGTTGGAATTATTTCGGGGTCACATGTATTGAATTTCCCCAAGGGGATTAATAAAGTATCTATCTATCTATCTATCTATCTATCTATCTATCTATCTATCTATCTATCTATCTATCTATCTATCTATCTATCTATCTATCTATATATCTATCTATCTATCTATCTATCTATCTATCTATCTATCTATCTATCTATCTATCTATCTATCTATCTATCTATCTATCTA